ATTGTTGCTGTCATTTCACCTCTTTGTCTGCATCTACGAAATCACTAATGCCAACTAGTTTTGTGCTTCACCTTCTCCAGGAGAGATATGTTCCTAAACGCCTGTGAAGTTCTGTGTATATCCAGCTGAATCTAGTATATTTTGTGGTTTTCCCCACTCTGTATACATATTTAAAATATTTAGTTTATAAATTATAAACAGAATAATATTAATAATAACTAACAATAAAATAAAACAATTATATACTATAATAGCAGTGATATGACTGTTGGTCCCTGTCTCATTCCCAGCTACTACAAGGTTGGTAGCATATAATACATAGATACAGTGAACAGAAAGATGATTCATGTCTCATGGAGAATGAAATGACATTGAGAGATTTTATCATGATACTCAAAATGATAATTGAAAATTCATGAAGTTTTTGTTTCTAGAATTTTCCATGAATATTTTTTGATCTTGGTTAATTAACTGAAACCATAGGAAGTACAACCATTGATTAGGAATCTACTATACTTCCTAATCCTTTTGGAACTGGATTCTTTGGGCTGGGAAATATATTAGGAAGGTATACTATTGCGTGAGTCTAGCCTTATGGTGGAACTTATGAAAAACGGAAGGTTTCTCAAAGAGGAAGGGCCACATATGCGGTATATACTACTTATTAGGTGCTTATCTTGGATTAAGAACTGGGCTAAGAATGACCCTGATACATATTATTTCATATAATCCTTAAAACAATACTCCAGACTAGGTGCCATTATTATCCTTATACAGATTAGGAAAGTGAGGTACCAAGAACACAAACTGTTTGCTCAATCTCGCACAATGAATAGAAGCCATATTTTAATCACCTCTTTGACTGTTTCGTCCATTCTACCTCCTTATCTGCTATGTCTATGGCTCTTTGAAAGGATAGTATTGAAGGAGATGTGGCCTAGGATGTTATCTTTAGATCACAGTAACAGAATTGTAACTCTGGGAAGTTACATGATGTGCCAGGGCACTTGGATGTCAAGATGAAAGCCCTGTCCTCTGGCTGCTACTCAAGGGATCCTTCTTTTGTCCATGGCTGACTTGTTCATGAGCATAGCCTCCACAGCATACATGGCTGCTTCTTCCATCCCTGGGCTGATAGAACCACCAAGCTCCAGCAGGACTACAGTCTTCAATTTGCAGCCTTGTTCTGTTCTTGTCTGGGTTACTCAAAGGTCAGTCAGATTAATGGATGGTGGTGGCTTTGCAGCCCGTGTTCAAGTTAAAAGGCACATTGACTGCCAGGCTTTCATTTTGAGGAGGAGCTCTAATTGGAGCCAGAACAATGTTCTAGGGACAGCTCTGATTGGTTTTAGAGAGTGGATCAGCTACAGTTCAGAAGATGGTGCATGGGGGGAAAAAGGAAACCTAAATTCCAAAATGGACTTCTGAGAAGTAGGAAAGATTTCTCTGAAATATTTCACCAAAGTCTTCTGAGACCATTAAGAAAGTGCCCAGGCAGAACCCAAGAGTACATTAATGGTTATTGCTACACAGCAATTGAATTATAGTGTCACTCTCCACCTAACTTGAATCACATTGAAGCAGGTATTTTGAAAATTAGATACCAGCATTCTGGCTTAAAAATGGGTTGGCTGGTTCCCCCAGTACAACCTCCTGCCATCTCCCAGTAAAACCTGTGAAGACAGAGAAAATGTTACAGACACAATTTTAAATCTTTGAGCAAGGACTGACAAGTGACAGCTAGAATCTAGGACAAGATGACAACCAGCTAAATGTCAGTGAAACTGCCCCAGGAATGTAGATTTTTTGTCCTCTTGTTCTGATATTTGGAACAGGATAAAGCAGCTAGCTGAAAACAGAGTAGTAATAGCAGAAATGAATACTCATCGAATGCTGTCTACAGCATTTTGCAGGAACCAAGCCCCAGAACTTCTCAATGACTCTGACATGGGCACTATCATGTCTCCATTTTCCAAATGGGAAACCGAAGCACAGAAAGGCATAGGCCAACAATTCGTGGAGTCAAGATTACAGTTCATGTTCGTTATATAGGTCAGTCTTCCTTGTGGGCCAGCTTCAGAGATAAAAGGAGTTTCTTTTCAGCCGTCTGGGCAGCCATATCTCTACACTGTCCAGTGATGACAAAGAATAATGTTGAAACTTCAGTGCCAAACAGCAAATCATCTAATGGGGGATTAAGTCCAAGGCCAAGACCATAGATGCTCAAGTCCCTCATGTAGAGTGCTGTGTTATTTGCATATAACATCAATCAACCTCCTATATAGTTTAAGTCATTTCTAGACTCTGTATAATACCCAATATAACATTTTTTTTTACTTTTTTAAAAATTTAAATTAGAAACAAGCTTGTTTACATGCCAATCCCAGTTCCCTTTCCCTCACCTCCTCCCCTGTCCCTCACCGACCCCCCTATCCCATCCACTTTTTTGCTCCCCAGGGAGGGTGAGGCCCTCTATGGGGGAAATCTTCAAAGTCTATCATATCATTTGGAGCATGGCCTAGACCCTCCCCTGTGTGTCTAGGCTGAGAGAATATCGCTCTATGTGGAGAGGGCTCCCAAAGTCCATTTGTGTACTAGGGATAAATACTGATTCACTACCAGCGGCCCCATAGATTGCCCAGACCTCCAAACTGACATCCAAGTTCAGGGGATCTGGATCAGTCCTTTGCTGGCTTCCCAGCTATCAGTCTGGGGTCCATGAGCTCCCCCTTATTCAGGTCAGCTGTTTCTGTGGGTTTCTCCAGCCTGGTCTTGACCCCTTTGCTCATCACTCCTCCTTCTTTGCAACTGTATTCCAGGAGTTCAGCTCAGTGTATAACATAAATATTACATAAATAGTTGTCTCTTACATTATTTGAGGAATATGGCAAGAAAAATTATTTGGGCATTCTCAATACAAAATACATTTTTCCTTTAAATATCTTTGATCCTTGGCTGACTTTGTGATTTGGAGCACTTAGAAAAGGAATTGCAAAATTTTGTATCTATGAACATTTATAATTTGGGAGGAATATGCATTTAATTACAAATAGTTGAATAAAATAATTTGTTTTTAGATTTCAACTAAAGGTTTAAGATGTTCATGTGTTTTAAGATACACAAGACCAGCAACGGTGGGAAGCTAGTTCCACTGCAGGCCTGGAGGGAGTGTGGGAGTTTTTTTTAAATGTGTGTGTGTGTGTGTTTGCTTATAGTTACATGTGTGTGTGTGAGTGAGTGCACATGGAGGCCAGAGGTTGACATTTTCTGTCCTCCTTTACTATTTTCTACCTTATGTTTAGAAACAGGGATTCTCACTAAATGTGGAACTTGCTGATTCAGCTAAACTGGCTGGTCAAGAGGTCCCAGGGATCCTCCTGTTGCCTTCCAGGTACTAGGGCTAGAGGCTCACACTGTCCTTCACATGGGTTCTGGAGTGCTGAGCTGAAGTCCTCACGCTTATGAGGGAAAGCTTTACCTACTGAACCATTTCTCAAGCTCTAAGGTATGGTGGTGTTGAAGTCTGTTCACAAATTTTTCTTTTTCAGTACTCTTCTTTTGAATTCTTCTCTGCCTGGGTGACATGGGCTTGACTCTTCAGTAATGGTTAGTGTATATAAAAGTGTTGACTCATGATTCAAAGGCCCATTGCTTCCTTCTTGTTCTCTCTCTTAAATAGTATTTTCTTGGAGTAAGGAGGAATCCTCTACCATTCACTTCATTACCCCTAGGTATATTGAAATATACCTAGGTATACTTCAATATACCTAGGACAGGATCCTGAGGCCTTCTGCCAGGGACCTTGTGACTGCTCTTGGATCGGTCCCAGTGGAGCCTCCAATAGACAACAGTCTCAGCAGTCGCCTTGATTAACATTTCATGACAGACTCCACAATCCAGAACCACCAAGCTAAGCAGCTTGCAGACTCAAGAAAATATGTGAGGATAGATAGTTGTCACCAAATTGGAGGAGAGATAATTTGCTACATTGCAACCACTTTTGAGAAAAGTATTTCTAGAGAGGTGAATGCTTCTGTTGAGGAGGTAGTTCCAAGCAAGGGCTGTTGACACAGAGGATGCAGTAGTGGCTAGAACAACATGGTCCAGGCTAGCAGAAGAAAGTCTATGCTTCTGTCAGTTTATAAACTGACCAAACCTAACATAAGCTAAAGGGCAAGTAAACCCCAGTGCAACAGATTATCCCCAGGGCAAGAGTAGAGCTGAGCATATCACAAAACAAATGTTATGAAACCAACAGAGAATAAGGAGTATATTTAGATTAACCTCACTCCTGAGCAGTGTTCTCATCTGGCTTTGATCAGAGATGGAAGACCAGTAGGAGCTACAAAAAATAGGGGTGTATAATGTGAATTGTCCCTATGGGAACTGTGGGAGCTGTCTGAATAGTTCATACATTGGTTACTGATTCTGTTGTAGGGGGATGGAGCCTAAAGTCAGCAAGGCATGCAGTAATGAAAGGAAGATGGGAAGCAATTGGTGACAATAGAACTGTAAGCCCTGAAGACAGATTGGAACCTGCATCACTCGTCATCACCAAGTATCCCTGGAGAGGGCTCTGTGGGGAAATGGCTATACTTCCTGAACCACAACTGGCTTAGAAGGTGATGAAGCTGAAGGCATTGTCCAATAAGATCTAGAAGAGCTATAGGTGTTGTCATACCACATCAGGCTGACCAAGGACAGTCTATGAATGGCGTTGAGTCCTAGTGTATTTTATCAATTTGAGAAAAGTCTAAGCTCAAATTTGTGGCAATCCTCCTGCCTTTGCCTCTCCAAGGCTAGGATTAGATTAGGATTCCCAGTTTATATGCACATTAATCTCACTCATCTGTCTCTTGTGACCCAGTTAATCTAGAACTGTTTAAAGAGAATTCTGCAGCATAGTTCCAACTAAACTAGGTTGGTACAATACAAACCTACCAGAGAACTTTCAAATGGCAAAATATAACAGCAAAATAAAGCACAAAGAGAACAGCCTATCACAGTTAAACCAGTTTTATTCTAGAGAAGCAAGGACAGATTAGTGTTAGAAAAAAAAGTCTATTAATATACTGACAGCTTTTCAATATGAAAACCCACATGATAATTAACAATGGTTGACAAAAAGCATTCAGATAAAATACAATATTCATGCACAATTGAAAAAAAGCAATCCAGAGAAAAATAGGGATGGGAGTGTTATGGCTAATATTGGTTTTCAGCTTGACAGGGTCTAGCATCACCTGGGAGACAAACCTCTGGGCATGCTTGTCAAGCATTTCTAGATTAGGTGAATTGTGGCAGGAAGCTACTCTAACTATGACAGCATCTTTTCAAGGACTAAGTTCTAGAAGAAATATAAGCCCAGTTGCTGTCACATCTCATTAGGCTAGCTAAAGGAACATGACACCTTATGAGTACCATTAGGTTCTGGTGTCCTGCACTAACTTTGTGAGTATGAGGATCCTGGAACAAATAAAATATGGAAAGCGAGCTGAACATCACTGTACATGTCTTCCTGCTTCCGGACTGCAGGTGCAACGTGACCAGCTGCCCAAGTGCCTGCTGCCATTCTTTCCCCCCAGGAAAAACTTGCTCTTGAGTTTGCTTGTCATCAGATGTTTTGTCACAGCAACGAGGCAGGTGACAGATACAGGAGGCTACTCAACATGAAGCACCTCGTATGGAGAGCCTATATCTTCCTTCATGGTGAAACAGCAGAACCATTCCCATCAGCATCAGGAGGGCAGAGCTGCCGCCTCCATGACTCCACACCACTGCTCTGTGAGTTACATCTGCTATGGAAGATGTGAGGCAGAAATTAGGGGGATTGCTGGAAAGGAAGAGACAAAATTACTGTTATTTACAGACAATGTGATTATATATCTTTTAAAACTAGAGCTGGAAGCTCTTGACATTAGTTCTTAATACATAAAATAATGGCATACCAGGAAAATGTACAGAATCCAGTGAGTCTCCCTGTGCCAGCAGCACACTCAGACAATGTAATGGGGGAAAGAAATTCAATTACGACCAAAATTAGGAAACGTTAATGCTTTGTGGCATTGACATTTTTTAGAAACACAGACCATTTATTTTTCTGAATGTCTCTCAACTTGGGTCTATCTATTGTATCTCTGATTAGATTCCAGGTATTCATTTTTGGTAGGAATATCTCGGGAACAATGTTGTGCCCTTCTCCGTACTCCATGTAAGACAAATATGATGTCATCTACCCCATCACGGTTGAATTCTTTGTTAGCCTGGTGTCCAGTGCCTCTCTAGTGTAAATGACTACTTTTCTCTTTGTAGTTAATCAAATATCTCACGGTAATTTATTCTGAAATCATGTAAATATCCTGTTTTTTTGTCAATGCTTCCCTAATCATCAACTACTTTAAATGATGGCACAGATGTGGTAAAGTCTGTTTTCTCAGGTGATTCTCAAGAGAACAGAACCTGGTCCCATGCTCCTAAAAGTCTCAAATTTAACTTCATGAGGAATGTTGAAAGTTGTAGTCTTTATGTAAGAATCCAGTTCTAAGACTTCATTCTATTCTAAGTAAAGAAATAATGTATAAGGTACTGGTGGACAAGAAGCTACTAAATAATATTACTTAAAGATATTGCTTTTGTGTGTGTGCATGTATGCATGAATACATATGTGTTTAAGCATGTGTGTATTTGTGCCTGTGTGTGCATGTGTGTGTGTGTATTTTTGTATATGTGCATGTGGGCATGCACACACTCCTCTGTGTGTGTGTGTGTGTGTGTGTGTGTGTGTGTGTTTGCATACATGCTAGGTATTTAACCCAGGGAATTCTTGCACATGCTAGGCAAGCATTCTACTACCAAGTTACATCCTGAGACTTCTTTCTTACTTTTTATTTTGAGAAAAATCTGCAACAGTGTCCCATTAAGTTGCCCAGCCAGGCCTTGAACTCATAAGCCTCCTGCCTGTTGGGAAAAGAGCACCCTGAGAATCCAGTGTATGTCCAGACACCATGGCTGATAAGGCTACACCACACTGCCTCAGCCTCCCAGATAGCTGCAACAATATGTCTACACCTGCAAGTCTGACTAAGAGCTTTGAAACATTGGGTGTTCTTGTTGAATTTAGTCTTTCAATGCACTGTCATTCTGGCTGTATTTATTTCCAAGGTTAGGTTTGTTTTGTTATCCCAGCCATCCAACCCTGTGCCTTAAGCACGCTAGGAAGTTACTTGCACTGAACAACTCCACTAGCCCCTCTGAGGATATTTTTACAGGTAATTCTCAGTTTTTCGTTTCTTTGCTCTATTCTCCCTGTGTTTGACAATAATTTTATTTTTAGCATCGTAATAATAAAGCCTTAGAGAAACCCCATGTACAAACCATTTTTTCCTGTACACCTTCCTTGCTCAATTTTATGGACAATGTGTTGTCATTCTTGAAACCAGGAACAAGAGTCCATGGAGCAGCTGACAATGCAGGTAGAATTGCTGAGCTCTGTTCTGTAGCTGTCCAAATGTGATATTTGATCCTGACACATCCATCTGGTCATACCGTCTTATTTAGCTGAACTAATTTAACCAGCCATTGACCTGGATTTCAGGAGTATTTTACAATTTGCAGCGTACTTTTGTGGGCATTGTCTCAGTTATGAAGTGATGGCCTTCTTATGGTCATTTAAATCTGATTGTAGAGAAAATCTTTAAGATTTCATTGAAAATTGAAGTGCCTTGGCCTCTGTGGACCTGCCTTTCCTGGCTTAGAAACACTGTAGTAGACAGATTGGGATGCGAGTGATTTATCTGTTCTTTATCAGCACTTGACTGTAGGCCAAACACCCAGGTAACACTGGGTAAGATATCCAGCATGTGAGCTGTGCTGAGTGTCAAGAAGTGAGGATTCATGGACAAAGGGCATGCATCTGGGACACGGTTCTTTTTGAGACACCTGATTTTGTTTCTCTGTGCTTCATTTACCTCATCTTCAAAAGAAACAACTGTGAAGAATTGAATTAACTGTATTCAGCTATAGTTCTCCTGTGGTTGGTGTGTACTTTCTTCCATGTCCAGCACCCCCAGTTCCTTTGAGACAGGGAAATGCCAACAACCCCTGTGCCCTTCCAATGTAGCTACAAAACCAGCATCATAGGTTGCCTGAGCAAGTTCATATCACAAAGGGGACTGTATTTTATTTTGCTCTGACCATCATAAGCATTGAGAAAGACCTGCATTTTCATTTCTTTTAAGCAGAAACTTTGGGCATCTAGCATGATCCAGATCTTCAGTGTCAACTTGCTTCCCACCCCAATCCCACCAAAAGACAGTCGACCATGCTGCACAGACAGACCATATGAATAAGGGTGCAGCTGTTGGGCATTATGAAAGAGGGCAGATCATAATACTCCAGGCTCAATAAACAATGCCTTGGATAAATGCTTTGCAGTGATTTGGGAGAAATAAGTGACAAGGAGAGTCCATATCTCCAATTATTTCAAAGATCATACCTTGGGCCGCTGTCTTTCAGGGATAGGCATAGCAAGCACTCTGAATAAGATGAGCTCCTTACAGAGCACAGATTCCTTTTTTCCACTTGCATGCTCTCTCTCTCTCTCTCTCTCTCTCTCTCTCTCTCTTTCTCTCTCCTCTGAGACCTGTGTGTCCATGGGTAAATGATCATCTACTGGACCATGGGTAGCCTCTCAGGGGTGGCATCTCTGGAGAAAACAGACTTTCTTTCCTCCGCCAGTCATCAATTCCCAGTAGCTTCTTAGATGCATATGTGGCTTCATGAGTCCCTCCCTAACCCGTGGGGATTTTGACTGGCTTGGTGTTATGCAGGTCTTGTGCATGCAGTCACAGCCACTGTGAGTTCATATATGTGCAATGGATATGTCTGGAAAACACAGTTTCACTACAGACATACACTTCCTTTGACTCTTACAATCCTTCTACCCCCTCTTCCATAGTGATCCCTGGGCCTTTGGAGGAGGTGGGTTTTCTTTACCCTTGACCTCTACCTCATTCCCACTTCATATTAATGCTCTAGTTGCTTCATGTGAAATCTGCTTTGGATAAAGCTTGATAACGTTATCAAAATTTTAATGTTTCCATGGAATCAGGAACTAGGAAGAAAACCATGTGTGTTAGGCACCAGTCATAGTATAGTTAAGGCAAATTCTAGCCATTAACCCATACCACCTTGTAATCTGTCTTATTTTCATTTTGCCAAGAGAGAAGAATGGCTCACAGATTAAATATGTTGCTCTAGGCAAGTCTGTGATCTCTCTGCTATACCTTGGCTCCCCAGCCTGGGGAATTCTGGGTAAGGTGCAATCTCTATTTACTCTATCAATATAGAAATGTTTATTCATTCAGCAACGTTTACTGAATATTCTGTCTGTGTCAGGGATGTATGAGGCACTAAGAAATTCACCATTGAACAAACAAAAATGTATAAATGACTCTCATTTCCAATGAGGAAGACAGACAGGAAACCAAATAAAATGTGTGACTTGTGCTGAGTGTTAAGAACTTCATGAGCATATGGCCTAAGTTGGGGGCATGGCTAATTCTGAGACACTTGTTGTGCCCGAAACAAAACACAGGACAAAAGAAGTTCAAGGAAGGAGGGAAGGGTTATTTTGGCTAACATTTTGAGGATATAGTCCATCATGGCTTTGGGAATAGAAGGCAGCTGGTCACATTGCACCTAGTCAGGAAACAGCGACAAATGCCCGCACTCTGCTTACTCTCTCCTTATTAGCAGTCCAGGATCCTGCCTTTCCACCCTCAACTAACCTCATCTAGATATTCCCTAACACACATATCCAGAGATTTGTCTCCACGGTGATTCTAGATCCTGTCAAGTGGACAGTCAAAATAAACCATCACACCTGTCAAACATCCAAGGGAAGATGCTCACAGGGTTTGGGCCTGGTGCCAAGGGAGAGTGACTGACAGCAGTTCACACTACAGAGGCGTCATCTGAGAAGCCTGGCATTGTCTCTATTCAGAGTTCAGTAGCTCTCGGGCTTGTGTCTGTCTGCAAGATCCTGCACAGAGACCTGCAGACACGAGAAACAGGGCTCAGCATAGCCGGAGTGCAGGATGTGAGGGAAAGCATGAAGAAAGAGACTGGATGTGTCTGAGAGAGAATCAAATGGGCTGAAGTAGCTTGGAAATGGTCTAGATGGGAATTGGAGGACCATAAAATGGTTCCAAGGAGAGAAAATGTAGATACTTGTTTTGTTGATATGATAAAACACCCAACAGATTCTGCTCACATTTTGAAGGTGCAGTCCATTATAGTCAGGAAGGAATGATGGTAAAAATGAGGTGGGTGGTCACACAGTCACCGTCAGGGAGCAGGGATCGTGAGCGCTGCTGCTCGGCTCCCTTTCCCCCTTCATTTAGACTGGGACCCTAGCACTGGGATGATGTAACCACATTTAGAGTGGGTCTCCCCACTTCTGTGAACCTAATCTAAATCCCTTCATAGACATACTCAAGGGTCATCCCCTAGTGGTTTTATATTCTGTCAAGTTGAGAGTCAACATCAACCATGTCAGAAGACATAAGCTGTAGAGGGAAAACTCTGGCTTCAGGAAAGGCTGAATTGAAGGGTAAGGCTGGAGTCAGGCAGCCTGGCAGAAGCCACTGCTGCTGCAGCCCAGATAGTGAGAGTAGTGGGCTTTATGAAGTGAGGGGGGAGCTGGAGAAAAACACGCGGGTCCCAGCTGCCTTTGGAGATAGAAGCAACAGGGCTTCGTGACTGATAGGGACTGAGGTGAGCAAACGTGAGAAGGAAGCCCCAGATGTTCAAGATTCCAGCTTAGGCACTGAG